CTCCTGGGAGAAGAGCTGTGCTCGTCCCGGCTCACCAGCACTTTCGGCCAGCACGGCTCACACGCGTCTGTGGATGAGAATCCACCGCCATGTACCTGCTGCTCTCGGGGTCCCGTCTGCAGCTCCCGGCAGTGCCTTCAGGCTGCACCCTGGGTCTGTGACTAGCCCTCACTTCACTAATTAATTAAATCTGGGAGCGTTTCCCGGCTTTCTGGCCAAACAAGGTGTTCCAGGCTCACCCCGGGTTTTCCCTGCCCCAGCAGAGTGGAAACTCAGCCGCTTCTCCAAGGACCTGGGCCACACTCAAAAGTGGAAGCTCTGATGGGGGGGTTAAAGTCCTAACTGAAAAAGCTGGGAGGAAACCCTAGGAGGAAAACTGACACGGTGGTGGAGACCAGGGGCAAACCTCTCTCCGCAGACGCCCTCTCCAACCCCTGCAGGAGGGTGGGGGGAGGTGGGCGGGGGCAGGCAGCCTGCAGGAGCCGGTGCAGATGCCGTCTCCGTCCTGGGGAGCAGACCAGAGCAGACCCGCACCCCTGAGTCTACAGTGCCACCAGCTCACAGGGGCCACGGCTTGAGTCCAGAACGCACAGCCACTCGTGGTCTTGCCTGAGAGGCGGCCCTGCCCCTGGAGCAGAAGAACAGCCCCCACCAGGAGCGCTTTGCTGGCCAGCACTTTCTGAGGGGACACTGAAAGTGGGAGGGTCCCCTGCCCTAGGGTGGCCGGGGGGGCTCCCCTGCAGAGCTGGGGGAGGGCTCAGGAGGGGCCCTGGCTCTGTGCTGGGGTGCTGACAGGTAGAAAGCCACAGAGGGGTTCTGGGGCTCTAGGGGGAGGTGGACAGGCATGTCCTGGGGAACGGCCCCGTGCTCACTGCACCAGAACCGCAACCAGAACCCGCTCACTGTCATGTCTCCTCCCCACCCTCTCCTGCCGGACGCCCGCTGCTGGAGGCCCCAGCTAACTCTTTCCACAGTGAATCACACCCAGAACTTCCACACACTGCAGACAGGTGACTCGCTCGGCCCTCACGTGAAACTTCCGAAGCAGGTATCATCATGGGCTGTTTTGCAGACGGCAGCCTGGGCCACAGAGACACACAGCACCCAAGTGAAACCTGGACTCCAGCCTGTGGTCAGTCAGGGCCTGACCAGTGCCTTCTGGCTGGGGCTGGGGCTTGTGCTTGTGCCTATTTCACAGCGAGGAAAACTGAGGCAGCCTCAAGGCTTCTCACCCAGGGCCTGCGGCGACCCTGGTCCAGCACTCCCTCGGGTGTGTCCCCATCCCCTGTTCTGGGAGGTCACCCCACCGTGGGCACCATGGACACGAGGGCGGATGCTGGCCCTCCGTGGGTTCAGGAAGGCTTCCCCTATAAGG